CTGTGTGTTTAGATATGCATACATATATTTATGTATCTACATACATATTAGTATGTGCCTGTGAATGTGCGAATAAAGACCCTGTATAAAATCATTACTATTATATAAATTATTATCTCGGGAATTAGACTTAAAGCGCAGTTAAAATGTCTTCTCTGTACAACAACCAGAATTGGGAGTTGCGACGATGGGAACCCAAGAGGATCTCTTGGCCGCCTGCCGCACACCTTCGGCCAGAAAGGCCGTACAATTGCAAATGTCCTTGTTTTCACGCAGCGTTCGCTGAGCTGACACGAGGCCCAACTGTTCCAGCGAACTATGTTGAGCACAGTTAGGTTTTCCTGCAGGGTATGTGTATATCAATCTAGCATAGTAGTGAAAGACCTAAAAAATAGTTGCAGTAATTTTATCCGAAAAGTAAACGGTGGGTCAAATTAAAGTTTGAATAGATTTTTTTAATTTAATTTTTGTTTATATTATTATTAAAGCTTACGTTTCCTTTGCAAGCTCAGTATACCCGGCCCTACATTTATGTATACATTTGCATAAAGATACGTACATATGTGCATTAGAGTGCATCACTCTCCATAAAAAATAATTCAGTACAGGTTTTCCATTGGAATTAGAAAATCTATTATATTTTAAGACTTCCACTAAAAGAAATTAGGAAAAATACTTAGATTAACGTGAGCTGGATCAAAAAATTTATTTTATTTTTTATAAATAAAACTAGGTTTTAAAAATATTTTATTTTATCTGCATAAAATTGTTTAAACATTGGGCCGTATGAATAAAAACTAAGCAACTGATTTTCTTAAAATTTCAGACCTTTTACTTAAATTTATTTGAATAAATCATACCCTGTATCATTTAAAAAAAATAATGAGATTTTTGAAGGTAGTTTCAAATCGTACCGGCACAAGCAAATTTTAATACTTCTGTGACATATTTTGGCCTTACAATAAAATAATTAATAATTCCGGTGAAAAAACCGCAACTTTTTTCGGTGACGCACCTTAATGCACATACGTGTGCATCTAAAAATGATTACAGAAGTGGAAGACCTAAAAAATAATTGAAGTAACTTTAGGCGGAAAATAAGAAACGGTGGTTCGTAACAGAGTTTAAAATATATATATATTTTTTTTTAATTGTAACTGAGCTCAAAAAACTGGTGCGAGTCTTGGTAGTGCCCACAAATATTTTACACATTAAAATCTTGGTAATACGTAGAAACAAAAAAGTAAGCATGCCTTTTCACCAATCCGTGTAAGTTAGTTTCTCAGATACAAAAAAACTTAAAAAAATGTTTTTAGGAAACTAGGAGTTCTAGGGAAACGCAAGCTGTGTGTGGTGAGAAATATTCCTCAACCTAAAAAGTAGAAAACTCATTACGAGTGTTTAATAAATTACTTGCTGTTTCAGAATTTTAAAGGGAATCTATCGAAAACAACCCGTCATATTCGGGTTTAGGAAATATTTTTTTATGAAATTATTTTCGATGGTGTCGGTTTGACTTTTTATAGCGATCAGTTTTATCGGACGCTAAATAACTGCTTTTTCTAAGGACAAAATTTTGATAGGGAATTTACTTTTTTTCTAAAAAAAAAAAATAACCACTTCCGCGCCTCATTTTTTGTGATAAATATTCATTTTAGTGCAATATTAGTATTTTTAAATTTATTTTGGCTTAAATGTATTTAAAGTTTACGTAAATATAAATAGAATTGCTTTGCTGTAGTCACGTTCTCTCCACGAGGCGTTTGCTTTTTTAATTCAATTCGTGTGTTGCACACAATTCCTGTGTACCTAAATACAAGGTGTTAATTAAACGCTAGAATTCAAATAAAATACACGAACGAATGTAGTTTCTGCGATCTGAATATAGTATGTATGTACATATGTAGTAGAGGTAGAAAACTATCGATTGTGATGACTATCGATATTTGCCGATAGTATTGATGAACACTATCGATAGATCGATACCATCGGCCATATTTTATTTATAAGAAGAATTAAATTTTTATCAAAAGACTTATAGTTGATTTCGACCAAGCCTTAACTGCAATTGATGCCTATTGGAAAAAGGAGATTACAACTCGAATGGGATAATTCCACTTGTTAAGTAGAAGAAAACGAATGGAGAAAAGCAACAATAAAGAAAAAAAGCTTTCCGATCACCCCATATTAAAATTATTGGAACTTCTCTGAGCTTTTAACTGCAGTAAAGCCTTTGGTGGAAATAGGCTATTAGCTTTATCAAGCTAAATGTAGTATATCCTGTACATTTTTTTTGTTTGTATAAAAAATTTTCTGCAAAAAAGCTTGTCCGAGTTTTCGACTTCAGTTTTGGTCGGCGATTATTAATAATTAATCCAGCCTTATTTAAAACACTCTCGAACTTCACACATGATACTGGAATAAAAAATATGTAGTATATAAAGTTCTCGAACGAAAAATGGCACTGAAGATAGCACAACGCCAAAACCGCTTTGTCTCCAAACCAAATTTGACAAGGTATGACGGAAAATCGTTCCACAATACATCATAGTCCTACCCTGTCGAAACAGCAACATTGAAAATGAGAATATCTATGTAAGAGTCTCGGTTGTAGTTTGGATTTTACCTTTTGACGTCAAGTATTATGAGCAGCGGTGCATATGGTTTCACAAATCATTTGTACTGCCACTGGATTTAAATGCTTTTTAGAATAAAAACAAAGCGCTCTAGATCTATTTTCCTTGACTTTCGAAAAATAATTGCAAACTGAGGAAATTTAAGTTGTTTTTTTTTGTAGTAGAAAATGTGCTTAAATACAGACTTAGCCTTTCAATTCAATTTGGCGAAATAAGAGCTAACCAATCGTTACTCACACATGTAAGAACTTCCAATCCTCATCGTTTTTTTTATTATATATAATGTGTCCCCACGAAAGACAATTTCCTAATTGGCTTTACATTGCAGCCGATAGTAACGATAGTTTTAAAACATCGATAGTATTATTTGAAAGCATAAACCATCGATATATCGATAGTATCGTTGAAATTTTTCCACCTCTAGTATGTAGGTATGTAAGTACACATGCAAATAGTCTGCCTTTATATAAATCGAAAGATTTTTTGGCTGCAAAAAAAGTTTCGAAACAATTTTTTAATTTGTCACTGTTATTGTGGCTTATTAACATTTTATTTTTAATATTTTTAATGAGCTTTGTACCCCGATTTTTTATTAGGAAAAATTTAAAAAGCAACAAAGTCTAAGCGGTAGAAGTTATAGCAGCTATTTCGGAGATCACCACATCTCTTCATCATCTCTTCTTCTTTTTTCTAGACTTCAGACTTTTTTCTATACTAGGGTATAATTTTTTTCAGTATAGAACAATCCTAGGGGATGAGAGCATTAAAATTACGACTTTACTTTTTCACATGCATTTTTGGACCACCCTAGTCTACATACATATGTATGTACATATAGTTCTGCACATAAAATAGGTTTGATAAATTGAGTTTAGTAAGTTTTTCTGGTGATTTTGGCAAAAAAATAAAATTAAAATAATTATGACAACGCTGATGTGCAACCATAAATCAGGTATGGCGTCATAAAGTCAAGTTCTGTTCGTATTTTCTGTACTGTCAAAAGGGTTTGATGATCTGTCATCATTTCATTTTTAAGGTGCATTCGTCTGGATTTCGTGTCTTTTTTTCAAATTAGATACAATTTGAAAATTTAATTTTCCATACCTGAATTTCATACAAAAAAGGGAGAGAATAAAATCGAACCTATCACTTCAAAATATCAAAAATAATGGTCTTCTTTGCTTTTTCATAAAATTATTTAGCTGTTTTTAGCTTTTTACTTTTAAATAGCGTTAGAATGTTTAATGCGATTTTTAGTTAGGTATGGAATGAATGAAATGAGGTGGAATCAAAACTTTGTCTTAAGTTGCCTAGATTTTTTGTGGCTACGAAAAATACTTACTACAAAAAAGTTGTTCCTTACAAGAATACATCATTTTTATCTTAAACAGCTAGCTATTTTTCTTAGCCGTAACTAAAATGTTGATTTAGCCTTTTTTAGCTTTATTTTTGGCCCATTTAGCCTTTTCTCTGAAAAAGTTCTGGCAACACTGGCTGTCAATTTCTTAATTAGAATGAAATATAACAAAACAAAACAACAAGGAGAAAAAGGAAAAAAGCTATGTATTTATGCGCATATATATTTACATATGTATGTAAAAAAATTTATGAACATAATTGCGAAACTCAATTTTTAATTAGTTAAAGAAACTTCTCAGGTGATTTTATATGTTAAAAGGTTTTTTTAGAAGAACAAAAAATTAAGCTTCTTAAAAACTGTATTTACTTACTTACATACATAGGTACATACATGTATAGTTACGTCCTTATTAATTATTTTTTTATTAAAATGACACTCGTAGCTTAGACTATACCTACGATCAGTTGTTTTTTGTTCGAATATCCAAGGATGTGCTCTCCCACTTTTGTCAAGGAGTGATTGTTTTGTAGTTGGTTGCTAAACAAAGAAAAGAGGAATTTATTAAAAAATTTATACATATAAATTCATATCCCACTATGAATTCGTTTCACACTACACGAAAGAAGGATTGGCTAAAAAAATTATTCTATATAAATATATAAATAAATGTTCAATTTTTTATTTTATCAGGGCTCGCGCTATGTGGTCATTATTTCTTGCTTTTGATATAATAAGAATATGTAAATGCATATTTTCCATCACATCTTAGTACCCAGATATGTAGAAAAAGGAAAACAATGCGAAAAAAGGAAAACAATGCGAAAAAGGCGGTTTGGTTTTTAAGTAAGGAAATTGTGTTAGAGCAATTTTGAGTTCAGACTCGATGTCAGCGACCCAAATTCTATTAGAAATGGCCAGCATTATCTGATATGCAATTTTCATGCCGGACAGTGCAATTTAATTTTCTTTTATTTCTTCACGCTCTCAAGCCACTGTACCACAGCCGATCAATGCTGCCGTTAAAGCTATCCAATACCGAATGGCACTTTGCGCCAGTCAGTCTCGTCTGTGATACAGCCACGGGTGGCGTTCAGCATTGTCGGCGACTTATAATTATTAGCTACGCTTTTGAAAAATTCACTAAGAAAACTTAAAATAATTATGTGAGACATCTATATACATAAATAATATAAACAGGCTAAACAAAAATTATAAAAATAAAAAATAAAGCAAAAAAAGTTTGAATGATAATAAAATGTGTAAAGTTTTTTTTTAAAGCGATTATATAGTCCTGTGCGTTGCTAATTATATTTAAATACAATTAGTGAATTAATAAGCGGTTCATGCATTTCAAATTGCGCGACAATGTGTCACAGCAAAATTATTAAGAAAATTATTTATTTCTACTCAATTGATAAATTCTCCGAATGCATACACACGTACATACTTATGAATTAAAACAAAAAAATCAAACGAATCACATCCCACTAGTGTTTTTTTTCTACCTAATTAGAAAAGGCAACAAGAACAACAAGCGGATCAAATTAAAATATATATGTATGTATGTATGTATGTAGTTTATGTGTATAGTTTACATGAAAAATCGCCACCAAAGGGTTGTAAATATAAACAGAATTAAATATGTAAATAAATAACGGGTACAGGTGTTTACATCTACATAAATACAGTGGTAAGCATAAAAGAAGCGCCAGTGTCTTTCAAAAAAAAATTTAAGCAACAAAAATTTGCAAATGTTCTTCAGGCAGTAAATAAAAAGAGTGGGTTTATATATATAAAGGTTACATTAGGGTGGTCCAATTGTTGTTTTTTTTGTTTTGTTCAGCCACCCCCCAGAACTGAAAAATTTCCAAAATAGTGAGTTATTTTTTTTGAAATCGGTTAAGTTTTAAGCTGCAGTAAGGTTTTCCATAAATATATTTCATATGGGGAAAATACAATGTATGTACATGAAAATACAATTTCTAAAAAATCGTTAAATAAATATTTTTTGATGGAACAAACGGATTCTCCTTCAGAAATCTTCATAAAATAAAATTATAATGCATATTTAAGTTTAAAATTTTATAACTACTCTTTCATAACCGATAGTCTCATCTCGTATTTATAAGAGGTTATTTTATATGATCGTAACTACATCACCCACTTTTTAAAAAAATAGTTAGTAAAATTTTAGTGTTGAATTTGCATCATAATTCCACATTTATTTGTAGCGGAAAAAATACTTTCCCATATAAAATTTATATATGTATATGGGTAAATCCATGTTGCAATTGACCATTTTTGATTTGGACGAATGTTTCGAAAGTTCAAAATTTCACAATTTCCCTGATTTTGCAAGTTTATTTTTTGAATATCTATTGTTGTACTAAAAAAATCGTAAAATTACAAAATTTTGGAATTTAAAAAATTCTAAAGCAAACACTTATATAAACTTTTGGTAAAATTTTGTTTATATAATGTTTCTAACTGATCATAAAAATCCAAAAAATTTTCAAGAATGTGTCTTTTTTTAATATATGAATTTTTGGACTTTGAAAAAAAAAATGATTGCGAACTCTAAGCTAAACATAAATTTAAATTAAATTACAATTGTTTATGTAAAAAAAATCATCTTGAAAATTTCAGATCATTTAAGATCAGTTGGCTAAAAACAATACAGCAGCGCGCAAAGCTTCATTTACAAACTTGTATGTACGCTTCGCTCTTCATTATGCGCTCTTCCATTGAAACATATACATGCGTTTGTAATCGACGCTTTGGTCGATACCCCTTGCTCGCCGCTCCACTATGTTGTTAGCCTTAGAGGTATGGTTTTGCTTTTGCTATTTTTTAAATTTCAAAATTCTGTAAATTTTTTCATATATTTTTTCCTTATTGCCCTCAATATCACCTTTAAACAACGAGAGCACAATTATTTTTGTAACTATAATAGTTTTTGAGATATTCAAAAAAATATACTTGCAAAATCCCGGAAATTGTGAAATTTCGAATTTATACAACTATCGAAAAAAAAAAATTATTTTTATCCTTTGGAAGAAGAAAAGGTTTGACCAAAAGTCATTCAGAATCAAAAAAGGTTCATTCCTAACATTGGTGGATTTGACATGGATCGGCCCATGCGGAAAACGGTTTAATATTAGCCGATTTCAACCTCAGAAATACTGGTATTTTCCATTATCTATTATTCTATAAGCAGCAAAATAACTACCGTTGATTTTTTAGAAATTTCTTTGTCGCATTTGCTTTCATATAACGAATAAACACAATTTATTTTTATATGAAAGAAAACCGCAACAACTGCGGCAAAAAAAATTCTAAAATTGAAATTTTTACCCGCTTGAAACTTGCACTGGAATTGAGTGAGTTACAAAACTGCATACTCAAAATCTTTCTAGAAAATCTAATTAATAGTTCAAATTTTTTACGAAAAATTGTTGATTGTTTTTTAATATTGCACAAAGTTTAAAACTTGGGGTTATACGGTTTTCGTTAAAGAGTGAACTATATATTTATAAAAAAATAACTCTCATTAAATAACAAAAAAAAACGTAATAATTGTGAAAACTTTACGTTTGGTGCGACTAAAATTTTTTCGACCACTGTATGTATGTAAAGATTATATAAATAAACATTTTTTATTCTTTATTTCTTAACTGACTTTATAAAAATTTGGTTTGGTTTATGTATACAAAATAATAAAATAAACAGAAGACCAGCAATATATAAAAATTGATACCTTTTTTTTGTAAATAAGGAGATATCTGGACGATATCTGGAGATGGGTGGGGAATTTTACGAAATTTCGTGCAAAATCGGGGAATTTCATTGTCGAAATCGGGGAATTCTCGAAAATGGGTTGGCAACCCTGGTTGATTGTAATTTTCAATGTGAAATATCCACCTTTTTATCATCGAATCACTTGGTCTCTGCTATTTTTGTGTTCGCTGTTGTATTTATATATACATATATATGTATAATATAAAAACATGCATATACATCGTATATCCATATACATAGCATATCTGTGGATGCGCATAGAAAATGTTCGAATTAAATAAGATAATAAATATAAAATAAACCAGCTGCAGATCTGCACACTGACGTATAAAGCAAAAGATCACAGCGATGTCGCCACAAACACACCAACCTACAAGACGGGTATAAACGAAAGCATACCCTGTTGGAGAGTTTATTGCCGTTTTTTATTATTTATTATTATTATTTTTTTCTTATTTAAGCAAATACTGAATTTGACGACACCATGAGGTGCTAATTAATGTGGCGCTTCATAAGCTTCTTATAGGTGGGCTAAAATCTAATTACATAATACATAACCCTATGTTCTCGGAAACGCCTCTAACTATTTTGATGAAATTTTGTACGGAGATAATATTTTGGATTTTAAAGTTATCTGAATAGGCACTATCTCCGAGAGGACTCGTTACAAATTAATTAAAACATCAAAATATGGGTATGAAATGGAAGGTATTTTAAAGATCCCTAATTCGAAAATGTTTTTAATAGGATTGCCACCTATTTTGAATCGCTATTTATTTAATTTTTTTTTAGAAAAAAGGTGAAACATTACTATTCATGGGTACCAAGAGAAGGTTCTTAAGGTTGGGATAATAGTCTAAGGTTGCCACTTATTTTCAATTCTACAAACATCGCAAACATCGATATCAAATGAAAGGTATTGTTGAGAACTTTGGTCAGAAAATATTTTCCATCAGGGTTGCCACGCTTCAATGTAATACAAATTTTTATTTTGTTAATTTCAATCAGCATTTTTTTGTGTATACACAGTACATTTACGCTCAAGATATGTACCATTCATTCCAGCGTATTTCGGAATAGGGTTGCCACCTAAATTTTAGAGTAAGAAATTTATTTAATAGTTATCGTCATCCAATTTTTTTTCCAAAATATTTTTTTAACCTATTCAAATCTTGAAAACATTATTAAAATATATGCACTTCGGGCAAAGCTCGGTCAACCTGGTACTTTAAATAAATAGAGCTGACGACATTCGCTTTCGCTTGTGTATATAGAGGGATTACCGTATTAGATCTACAGATGCATGTGTCCTCGTCCCCTGAAAAAGGCATCCTGCATTCCACTGGAAGAAGTAGAGGAAACTCATTGTCAGAGTTGCAAAAACGGCAGGGATTGTTTGACCAAGTATCTAATTTGTGGATATATTTTAGGTGATTAGAAGTTGGGGTTGTGTCCCCCAAGTAAACATTTTGCTTGTCCAGTCTGGTTGAGCACCGCCAGTGCTATTTGATCTAATTTCTCAGCTTCCATTTCTGAGTTCTTCTTTGACCGTATTTAAAACTAGTCCTAGATAGGATTTACAAAGGCGCAATTGGGGAAGTAGCCGGAGATTTTAAGGCTAGTATGTTCGCTGTTTGTCCCCTCATATAGCTTTGAGGCCTGTAACTTATAACAGATGGATGCTATTGTAGTTTGCAAGAGAGTTAAATTGCTCTTCGTACTCCAAAACTAACGAAAATGTGACCACGGAGGATGCAAGAGCCTTGAGTGCCCTCTGGTTCCCACTTAGCATGCCGGTTTTCTCATTGTGGTAGTTCCTGCTCAGATTTATTTCTGCACAGAGCCTGATGGCGTAGCCGTCTGCTTGTCCTTCCCAGGCTTACAGTTTGCACCCACTGGCCGTAGTCACTCTGAAAAACCCCCTTCTCAAGGAATTAATGCTGTGTATGTACGTACATATATGAAGGATGTTTAATTTATTAAAACCCTACCTTTTCCAGTATATGCCGCCTTATCTTTCACGATCATTCATAAGCAAGACATACACACAAATTTCTATGAAACACGTATTGAACCACAAACGGCTACATTTTCTCTGCAGGGTACGACATTAGCACCGAACCGCCCTTCTGTGCTCCAAGTACGCTTTTATATGCTATTTTTGATTTAATTGGTGAGCGTAGCGACCACTCATTCTAGCCTCTCGACATAGTATTATTATTGTGAAATCATTGTATATTGTTGCTATTGTGCTAGTGAACAAAATATTGCAAAGTCGTATGAAGGAATGACTTTATCGTCTCGTCGTGTGAATATATTCGTTCATACATATTTATATATGTATGTATGTATATATGCTTGAATTTTATGCAATTCTTATCAATTTAATAACTTATTTGTACTAAGTTTAAAACGTACAAGTGCATACATACATATACATATATTACATTCACATTCTACGCACACATGACTTGTATAGTTTGCTTGGCACACAAAAATGTGTCAAGGGTTAAAAATGTACATAGTTTCGTGGACATCTGTTGCGTTTAATAAATACTTATAAAATATAAAAACGGAAATGCGATAAAAATGCAGTTAGAAAAACAAATAATTCGACCATGTTTTTTTATTACTTCGCGATAATGCAAGAAAAAAATTCACAGAAAAACAAACAAAAAATCGACGACTTTTTCAACATTTGATAAAAACTTGTAAATTAATTGAGTTTTCGATTTCAAACTTGACACAACAGATTCTCAAACTTACATTCTAGATTTAGGCCTTAGGCACCCAAAAAGTTCCGAAAGGCTTTAGAGGGTAGCAAGTGAATGTACTCCTACTGAAACCACACTATTTATATCCATGTTTCTCTCTCGTCTCCTCGAAACGAAAGTGACCCCCCCTCAGCAATGTTGACATATTCAGAGTTTAACAGTTAAATTACCTTTTAGTACAAATNATTACCTCCTAGTACAAATTACTGTTTTTTTTCTAAAGTCACGTATCTTTCGGTATTTTTTTTTGTATTTGAAAGTGAATTATTAAGATAAAGGGGTGTCACCTGTCCGTTGCATTCCAGTTGCCACAGAAAATGTGAATAAAATATTTTCTCAAATCAATTTGAATAAAGCAAGAAATTCCAGCATTGTCTGGCATTTCAAGAACTAAAAATATCTTTAAGGCGACGAGCCCCTACAAAATGGGCGTGGCAATGGCAGAACTGAAATTAGGAAAACGCAGATTTTATTGCGGATTTCGGCAGAATATCGCTTCGTTAAAAACATTTGTTCCACAACATTTTCAATCAAAGAATATTCTAGAAATGGGCGTGGTGGCTATATTAAAACCAAAGTTCAAAAATTTCGACTTTATTGTGGATTTCGCCAGAATATCTACATATATTGATTGAAATAGTTGTGGAACAAATATTGGTAACGAAGCGATATTCTGCCGAAATCCGCAGAAACGAAAAATGACACTGAAGATGGTACAACGCCGAAACCGGTTTGTCTCCAAACCAAATTTGACAAGGGATGACGGAAAATTGTTCCACAATACATCACTAATATTATTCTTAATCTCTTCATCTTGGTCTTAACCTTAATTCTGATATTAATTTTAATCGTAATCTTATTTTATTCTTATCTTATCTGAGTCTTAACCCTAATCATAATGTTAATCTTATCTAATATTAATCTTAATCTTACTCTTAATCTTAATCTTACTCTAAATCTTAATCTTAACCCTTATCTTAGGCTTACTCTTAATCTTAATCCTAATCTTTAACTTAATTTTATTATTAATCTACATTTTAGTCTTAATCATATTCCTAACTTTCATCTAATTCTTATTCTTAACCCTAATCTTAATCTAAATTCTAATCTTATTTTTAATCTTAATGTTTACCTTAATTTTAATCTTATCTAAGCTTAACCTTCATCTTCAACTTAAACTTAATCTAACCTTAATCCTAATCTTAATCTTAACCGTTCACAACCAGGCTCGTCATACCCTGCCTTCTTTTGTAGCCTTTTCTTTTATCGGAGTTTGGAATCATAAAAAAAAAAACAAAATAGATTTAAAAATCTTTATAACTATGTATTATTATTTTTTTTTTGTGATTCCGATTACATCGTGATATAAATAGTTTTACAATTCCTAAATAAAGATATGCTCGTATATTTTTTACTCATTACCCATTGAAACATTAAACCTTGACCAACAAATCTCCCTCCCATACGCAAATACATACTTAACAATCGTGATGTTTTTCAAAATTGCATTTATTGACCTTTTGCACATGTATTTGTTTTGCCTATGTGAACATGCAAACTTGCATAGAAGATTATGTGCATAAATAAGTAATATCTTTTTTATAATAATTACCAGTTAGCGTGAGACAAGCATCCCGACAATTAATTTCAAAATAGAATGCGTATATATTTACATAGCTACTTACTTACTTACTTGATAAAAACGCAATCAATAAAAGCGCATATGCCACTAATGCGGCGTTGAGAAATAAAGCCTAATGTAAGCTTTAACTAAATAATTACTCATAATTTAAAGATTTTATTGAAAGAAAATTGTGTGTTTCAGCATCATTAAGCCGATGTTAAACTAACAGAACTGCTAACTGATACGAAAAAAATTATGAAACACTCGAAGCAAAAAAAATTAATGGGAAAAATTTCAATGTCAAGTAGTATGTTTTGTATATGTACTAAATTGCTTGCTATGCGTGCATATGTTGAAATTAACCAATGAGGAGTATATAATTATATTTTATTATTTGTGTGCAGTATGTAGTTTAAAATTAATAGCTGCTCATTTTGAAATGCACAAGCAAAATTCTTTTACTTTTAACAACTCACTTAAAACAAAAATTTCAAGACCAAACCAAGTTAACAATCAATACCACATATGATGTGGCACGCAAAAAAATTAATATATCCGTCTCAATGGCTGTAAGGCATTTAATATTATAGCATTGCATTGCAGCTTGCCTGAAATTTCCCAAAAACGTGCATGAGCATAAAGTTAATTAAGGTTTCTGGAGCTTTAGTAGACGTGGATGGGAGCGCACTACGAAGAAAAAGCTTCGTACTTGTGGTGAACAATTTCGTCGATGACTTGACTTGTACACCTTGGGAAGCTACTCACGGTAGGGACTACCTGAATTCAGTAAAAGCTCGTCTAACATAGCCTAGCCTAAAAGCTCAGTTAGTCTAGACTTAATTTGCGTAACATAACTTAACATTTTGACCAACCGTAAGAAACTTCAGAACCTGTAGATCTTAAATTCTTAAGTTACGGCTTTGCAGAACTTGAAAACGGTGAGAGTATCAGGCTTGCCAGGTCTTCGTTTCTGTATTTCTCAAAAATAAATGAACTCAAACATATTTTTTGCATGATTTTTTTTGTGACATTTTAGGCGGCAAACTTTCAAACAGCTGAAAAGCAAAAAACAAAAGCAAAATATTTCCGCTTCTGGCTTAAGTTGACGTGTTGAGTATTTATTAACGATTTCTCACGGCAAGTTAAACTAACTAAGCTTTAACTAACTTATATCTACTTGAAAAACTAAAAACCAGAAACGGTGACTTACGAGTACCACGATTGAGCAAGCAAGTCAAATTTTCACATGGGAGAACAAATGTGGCAAACTTAGTGCAATCTTTTAACCGAAACTGCAGCTTCAACGAATTATCGTTAGCATAGGGAAATAAAAATTTATTGTGCCGGATTTCCACTGCGCATTTAAATGCACAAATTTTAATGACAAATTTGGGCATTACAAATAACCTCTGCAATTATGTTAATCCAAATTTTCCTTAAATTCGTTTCCACATGGCATTTGTTAAATCGCAAACATTTTTCCTCGTTTCAATGCCTAGTGGAAAATCGGCATTATAAAGAAAAATATATCAAGTATTTGCATATCAAATTTTTCCAAAAAGAATATAGCTCTTTATTTACTGGGACACCCTAATGTGCATATACGCAAAGTAGGTATGCACATTAGACCGTATCACGATGGACGAGCCAAAAAAAGTTTGTTCCAAACGATTTTAAACACTCACTATGAGAGTATTTCAGGAGCGTAGACAAATTTTTGCTCTACCCTGCAAAAACATCTTTATCGGTTTTTTATATAACTTTTTTATTTGAGGTCCTTTTTTTATAAGTGATACGTCGTTGTAAAGTTATTAAGAAAACCTACAGTTTTACTACTTTGAAACACATTGAAAACGATAGTTTTTTAGCTGCATTATCTAAAAGCTTTATCTACTAAGCTAAATGATTTACTTGAACGCGGCAGCGTCATCATGAATTTGCATGAACTTGACATAAAAGAAGAAGAAGAAAAAACTTATTTGCCGCTAAAAAAAATAGCATGGCTGTAACCACAGTTGCAATATGTAGACTTTTTCACTCCTTTACAACGGCAAAACGCGATTTAGCTGAAATACTCTCATAGTGAGTGTTCAAATTCGCTTGGAAAAAAATTGAATTTTTTTGTGAAAGGGTATCAAATAAATATGTATGTCTGTATGTCCCCTTACGAACCACCTGCTAATTTCCCTGGTTGTACTGAGCTTGATTTACACGCATACATAATTTATTAACTAAATACAGATATTTTACATTCGATTGTTTTAATAATTTAGAGCATGCAACACGAAATAATTATAACGGCTCTGCGGTCTGTGTAGACAGAATTTAAAAGGGGGTATGCCACAGTAATATTTTACACAAATTATGCATTTACTCATTAGCCATAAAGCTTTAAGCATTGAAATGATTTTGTTGCCACATACAAAAATATGTAAATAAAATAAAATTACAATTAGAATTTCATTTTTTATTTTATCTTTGCAATATTAATTTACAGATTATTTCCCTTCCAGCAGTTTGACTAAGACAGCTATGTATTATCCTTACTGTAGAGCAAGACACGCAAACAGATATGGCAGTCAAGTCAACAAGAAAGAATGAACAAACAGCCGAGAGTGAAACACAGCCGCATGGCAATGAAACTGAGACTCGTAAGAGTAAAAGTATGGACACGAAACTACAGATGTCAACACAAATAAAAACAACAACAACAAAAACGCCACAAGGAATGGAAGGTAAATTCATTGAATTAAGAGCGTATGACCTTGTAAAGTTTACGTAGTATGTACAGTGAGTGTCAGTGAAAATCGTACAGTAATCTTTTGTTTTATTTAAATTATATTAATTACATAGTTCATACTACAACAAAATCCATACTATCAAAAGTTTCTAACTTTGTAACGATACATCAAAATTTCACACTTTTTAATCAGAATTTTTAGAATTTATTTTGGTACGCAGTTTTATAGCCCATTCAATTTTAGTATAATAAAGTGCAAGTTTGAAGTAGCTACAAAATACCGTTAGTTTTGGCAATATTTTTTTGTCGAGGGTATTGCGCATTTTCTTTCACAGAAAAAAAAACAGATTTTGTTCATGCGTTACGGATTTTGTTGTATTACGAACTATATTTTGATTCGAAATTAATCAAATTTAAATAAAACAAACTATTTTCAAAATATGGTCCATATTAAATTTACTGTACGATTTTGACTCATACTTACTGTATGTATATATGTGCAAATCATTATCTACAGATCACACCAGCCTACTGGAAAATTCCACACCGCCAACTAGTACATGCACAAATGTGCTATCCTCTACGTTAAGTATAAACCCAAAGCAACAACTTCTGAGAAAAGCAATTTCTACTTGTTGGCAAAAAACACTACAACTCGTCACAACAAACACTGGCAAGCCAGCCAATAATCCATCAGCCAAATACTTTAACTGGTCATATCGACTGTTGCGACGCAAACAACTTATATTCTTACTCATTTTTGTGATATTCATCTTCTATTTGGGTAGTTCGATACGCGATGGCGATAATACGGACGAAAGTGTACACGTGCTGCACTACTCGCATGTGCCGGGCATGAAGGGTACGTATACGCCAAGGTGCATCATAAATATTTATTGCGTTTTGTATAATATATGTACATACATACTAGATGAATATTATGCTAGACGCCATATTGTATGCACTTATACTATATTGACTAACTAATACATATGTACAAAACAAGCGTAGATTACTTTTTAATTTTATAGTTTTTATGTTAATACTTATATTTAACTACATATGTATGTACATACATGTGTACAAATTCATTGCACAAAAACTTGACTTTTTAACACTTTTGCATGTTAAAACAATATTTATATGTATGTACATAAATAGACAGTCACATACCTACATATGTATGCATATACATACACAATTTTATCTAACATTTGTCACTAAGGGTTAATTTCTAAATGCAGTATTAAATGCAGCTTTGATCAAAACCCAAGCTTGTACAACGAGGGTTATACTGCGAACTGAATATACTGCGTGACCACCACTCGAGATATAAAACATCAAGCTAACAGAACCAATTACACTGGATCACAAATTTTTATTCTTTTATTTTTTTGCTCGCCAGATGCCACTATCGCATTCCGAAAATCGAGTAAATTTTTTTTAATATGGAAAGCTTTTGGGATATTTACAATTTTTTCGTAAATCAGCTAAAAAACAAAAGTGGCTCCAAATAATCATGTATGTATATTTACGAACCAATTGGACAATCTTGTTAGCAAATGAAAGGCTAAGAATTCCCGATTGTTTTTTTTTTTTAGGCTTGTCCAATTTTTTCTCTGGCATTAAAGCTTGCTCTTTAACAACAAATGCAAGCTATTAACGAAGAAATCGAAGAATAAATAAATAAGTTGGGAATGGTCAAATGAAAATGCGTAATGATTTTTTTTTACTGGAAATGTACAGGATCTTTTGAGTGGTTTGGAACTTTTTGGAATTTTTCGTGACCGTTCAGAATTTTTTCGGAATTTTCAAATCAATTTTGTTTTTGAATTTTTTCGGGACCGTTCAGGATATTTGCTGGTCTTTTAAGATTTTTCGGAACACTTTTCAGGGGGCGAACTGGATTTATTGGTGTTTTACTTTTCGAGATCATTGGATTTTTTTTTGGTTGTTATTTTTATTTTTTCTCTTCGATTTCTAGAACTTTGCTGGCATCACGAAAAGTATCCTAAGGTTTCTTTAGAATCACCAAGATGGCTCTTCGATTGCATCATATTGGTTTTACTAACCTAAGCTAAGAAAAGCTTTTAGAGCAACTATGAGCCTTTTTTAATCAATAGTAAATTTAGAAAAAAAAGTAGTAATACTAATTTTTCAAGAGGTTGAGAAATTGTTCCGTATTGTACCCCACTCTAGGCAAGTGACGGGATACGGTTAACTGCTCTTCGTTTAAGATATTTTGGCATTGCTGCTGCAGTACTGCATTTATGAACTAACCCAATGTGTTTTTTTCTATGGATTTGTATTTTAGCTTTTGTTTAATCACACTTACAAACATACTTACTACATATGTACATATGTATGTGTATTACCTATATAACTTTATTTTGACCATTTGTCCAAATGTCTATTGCTGCACATTACAAATTGTTATGTTTTATTTTTCGTTCTTTTAATTTGCATGCTTTTGACGCCCACAAAATTCAAATCAACCACTTCTGGAATATGAAATTAAATTAAAAAAAAAAAAAACTACAATTCACCAAATTGCTTGTACCGATTTGTTGTTGTTATTTTGCTTGCTGTTTTGTCTTGTGCTGTCTAATGTGCAACATCTGCTTGCGCGCTCACCTCAAAATCAGTAGACAAAAAAAAAGAGCTGCTGTCACAAGCTATTGGTAGTGTGAGACCATTAATGACACCACCAGCCGACAATGTGGCACTTTTGCCGACATCCATTGTTGACCAAACGATAGCAACAACCACAGAGTCCCGCACCGATTCTAACTCTAAAAATCCATTAACTAATAATACATATGAAATCGTACAACCACGCACAGGTTTTCTTGTTTGGAGCGAATCCTGTCGAATACCAGTTGTAGATGTATATGCGCCGGATATAATGCAACATTTTAAGCGTGAAAAATATAAGCCATGCTCGAAAAAGAAACCACTAACTACGGTCACTTTCAATACGACTTCCAAGGAGTATTTGCTGCAAATCGAGAAGAGCGAAATAAAGTCATTTGGCAAATCAGGCCGCATACGTTGCTGCTATCAGCCGATAATACGCAATGGCACAGGCGCAAAGGCGGATGAAGACTATAAGTGAGTAAATATGTACATGTGTGCATACATGAAAATAATATATCATTTAATACATACATACATACTTATAGATTAGACTGCATCTTCAAAAAAAAGTTGCGGCTTTTCCATCGGGATTACAAAATTGATTATATTTGAAGACGTCCACGCAAAATATTTCGGAAAAATATTACGATTTACGTGAGCTGAACCGCTTCGAAAATACTTCCAAAAATGGAGTTTTTCATGAATGGAAAGATATTTTCTTAAAGAACTTTTCGAGAAAAAAATCGCCTCAGATGACAAACCAGTTTAAGCCTAAAAAATCTGCATAAAAATATTTTAAAAAATTTTCAACGGAAACGTAATAATGTGATTTTTGATGCTTGAAGAAATACAAAGTGTGAGAAAATACATTTCTAACGATACCTCATAAGCCTAAATCGGAATTCTTTTGGTCTAGTTTCTTTTAGTTGAAGTTTTTCTTATAACAATCTTTGAAAAAAGTTAAAAAAACAGCATCCAAAATCTCATTATTACGATACCGTCGAAAACTATTTTAATATTTTTATGCAGATTTTTGTAAGCTTAAACTGCTTGGTCAACTGAGAGGAATTTTTTCAAAAATATCTTTAACTATTTTAATTCATAAAAAACTCTATTTTTGGAGGTATATTCAAATCACGTAAATCTTAAAATTTTTTCGAAACATTTTAGTGCAAGTATTAAAACAGAATAGATTCTATAATTCCAATAGAAACAGATTTTTTTTTTTTTTTTTTTTTTTTTTTTTTTGTGTGGGGAGTGATGCAGTCTAATATATATATATATGTACATTAAGCCGTATCACGACATATGTATGAAAGAAGAAAAAGTTTAGCGTGTGTGCGTTTTATTTAAACACTTATGTTGAGACAAAACTTTGGGTGTAAAAAATTTTTTCAGGCACCCTCTAAAACCGCTAAATCTTGTTTCTTATTATATATCCGATTTTTTTTTTTTTAATCTTTATGTCGCCGTATCACGTCATATGTATAAAAGAAGTAAATGTTTAGGGTGTGTCAGTTTTATTGAAACACTTATGTCGAGAGACAATTCATTTATAGTCCTGAGCGAGGCCTTTTCGGTAACATAAAAAACACGCAATTTAACGATTTCATACAAAAAAAATTTACACCCAACGCCTTAACGTTCAAATTTGCGGATTACATTTATTTATAACAGCTACATTTGGGCATTTCCATCAAGTCGAACGTGAACATCGAACACATTCAAACTGAAGAACCCGTCATCTAAATCTTTTTTTTTTGTATTTTGACACTAGGTTTAACTAGGTTGATTTTTGGCAATTTTTCGTTTTCAAGATAATTGCAAAAAACAAAAGCATTCGCACGGGACAAAAAAAAAGAGAAGTGGTTATCGCCGCCACCAATTCAAACGCCGATTTCAGCGAAACCTGAGGCGAAATTTCAATGTGACTAATTTTAGAATTTTGTACATTGATATCTCTTTAAAATGATTTTGGTTTTACCCAATAATTATGTACGGATTCTTCTTAATTAATTTTAATCGATAGCCAGCGAAGATCGAAAATCGAATGCAACTCATAATAAGGGCCATAATAATTCAGACAATTCAAAGAGGAATATAAATAAATTAAAATAAAATATAAATAAATAAGGGCCATTCCATTGTGACTGGTGCAACATTTGACCATAGAATGTGATCAATTATAACTCTGTCGTCGGAACTTATACAACAGTGAAAGACATTTTTAACATACATATATAGATAAGCAACTAATGTATAAAATTTCATAAAAAAATACCAGATATTTTTGTGTTGTAAAATATGTATATTTTTTATACGCTTTAATTTTCGTTAAAAATTAGACTGATATAATCTTCATAGAAATATTGAAAATAATGACTGGTAATGGGTCGATTATGGATGGCAACGCAACCTCAGTTGTGTTACCGATGGGCAATGCCACTGAACTTAAAATGTATATTATGAATAGCAACTATTTATAGTCAAGTTCTATAAGGTTGAAGGAAATATAATTTTGAAGAAACATTTGAAAAAAATAAATAAGTTATCTCTAATTAAAATTTCTGCGGCAACCACTAAAATGCTTTGCCAATATAGCAACTCAGTTGCTAGCTTTCAGTTGCCAGTTTCCGTCTGTAATACCATTTCTGCCACTGGCCACACAACTGAAGTTCGGTAATTATGCATTTTTTATACCCGAGCGCACTTGTGCACAAGGGTATATTAATTTTGTTCACATAACGGTTGTTTGTAACAGCCAAAACGAATCGAGATAGATATAGACAAATGTATACATAAATGATCAGGATGAAAAAAGAAATCGATTAAGCCATGTCTGTCTGTCCGTCCGTCTGTCCGTCTGTCCGTGTACACGATAACTCGAGCAAAAATTGAGATATCTCAACGAAATTTGGTATCGTAGGTTTCCCTTAATCCAAGGTAGGTTGGTATTGAAAATGGGCGAAATCGGACTTTAACCACGCCCACTTCCCATATAACGGTAA